GGGTGCGGGTGCGGGCGCGGGTGCGGGTGCGGGTGCGGGTGCGGGTGCGTGTGCGTGTGCGTGTGCGTGTGCGTGTGCGTGTGCGTGTGCGTGTGCGTGTGCGTGTGCGTGTGCTTGTGCGTGTGCGTGTGCGTGTGCGTGTGCGTGTGCGTGTGCGTGTGCGTGTGCGTGTGCGTGTGCGAGTGGCGCGTAGCGCGTGCGCGTGCGCGGCGCGTGCGCGTGCGCGTGCGTGTTGTGCGTGTGCGTGTGCGTGTGCGTGTGCCGAGGGCTGTGCAGTGGTGCGCCGTGCGTGTGCTTAGTGCGTGCGCGTGCGCGTGCGCGTGGCGTGCGCGTGCGCGTGGGTGTGGGTGTGTGTGTGTGTGTGTGTGTGTGTGTGTGTGTGTGTGCGTGCGTGCGTGCGTGTGTGTGTGTGTGCGTGTGTGTGTGTGTGTGTGTGTGTGTGTGTTTTTCCCCTTTATTTATTTCTTTATTTCTTTCTTTATTTATTTCTTCTTCTTTCCAACGGTTTCCCGCGGGCCCCAGCCTCCAGCGCTTCAATGTATTTTGTTGTTTTCTGTTTTTCCCCACATCCAAAGCGGGGTTCTCGTTTTCTCTTGGCACCCCGCGCAGGGACCTCCTCACCTCGCCCCCTCTCCTCTTTTGTCTTCGTGCGCTCACTCACTCACTCACTCACTCACTCACTAGCTCACTCACTCACTCGCTCACTCACTCACTCATCAGCACTCACTCACTCACACGCCCACGAACTCAAATATGATGGTGATGAGTGTGCGCACGAGAGGAAGAGAGCGATGATCATCCGCGTCACCAGTCAGTCAGTCAGTCAGTCAGTCAATCAGTCAGTCACTCACTCACTCGCCTTGGGCCTCGTCTCTGAGTGAATTGTGAGGAAGTCTCAACCGGGAGCCCCCTCCCTATAGGGCCCGCGGATCATGTTACTAATCCGAGGAAGTCTCAAGCGGGAGCCCCCTCCCCATGGGGCCCGCGGATCATGTTACTAATCCGAGCGGGCCATCCAATTCCTGTAACCGTCGCCACTTTTGGGCTCTCGCGCTGCCAGAGCGCCATTCCCACACCGCCCTATGGGGCCGGCCCGCGGATCACGTTACTAATCCGAGCGGGTCATCAAATTCCTTTAACTGTCGCCACTTTTGGGCTCTCGCGCTGCAAGAACGCCATTCCCAGGCCACATTTTGAATGCCCGGAGCCAGCTGTAAGCCACTTCGTGTTCCTCGTGCTCCCAGAACACCACTCCCGGGCCACATTTTGAATGCCCGGAGCCAACTGTAGGCCACTTCGTGTTCTTCGCGTTCCCAGAACACCACTCCGGGGCCACATTCTTAATATCCGGAGCCAACTGTAAGCTACTTTGTGTTCGTCGTGTTCCCAGAGCGCTATTCCCGGCACGTATCCACTGGGACGCACCCCTGTGCGCTTCCTCTGGGTCGTGCCCCCGCGCGTATCCACTGGGACGCAACCGGTGCGTTTCCTCTGGGTCGTGTTCGGCACGCATCCACTGGGACGCACCCCTGTGCGCTTCCTCTGTGTCGTGCCCCCGCACGTATCCACAAGCGCGCACTTCTGCGCGCTTCCTCTGGGTCGTGTTCCGGCACGTATCCACTGGGACGCACTCTGTGCGCTTCCTTTGGGTCGTGTTCCGACACGTATCCACTGGGTCGCACTCCCGTGCGCTTCCTCTGGGTCGTGCTCTGGCACGTATCCACTGGGACGCGTTCCCGTGCGCTTCCTCTGGGTCGTGCTCCGGCACGCATCCACTGGCTTCACAATGCGATCTACATTCGTTCTTTCGAAGCAGGACAATCGCGGCGTCCTGGACCCTCGGCACCAGCGCGAGAACTTTCGGCTCGGCTACGGCATGGACATCTACTGGGAAACACTTGCGAGGTGGATGAACACGCGTGCTCGTCGCGACACTCGGCGTCTGAACGTATCCCTCGTTTTCCTGCAGGCCGTTGACGAGTGCGGCGCGATTCAAGGCGATCCCGACGCGGGTCGGCGCCTCCTGAACGTCCCGAACGTGCACAAGACGGGGACATCCACGGCGTCTTGCCGGCCCACGTCGGCATGGAGGTGCGGTTCACGGCAGCGCAGGAAGAGCCGAATAAGTTGGGGCTCGTGCAGGAGCAACGGGCCACCATCGCGTCTTTCGAGTTCCACCGCGAGGACGAACAGCGGCGCGAGGGGCGCTCGGCAGGCCAGCTCTTTCGCCCCCGCTTCCTACAGCAGGGAATCTGGCTGCAGGTGCGCGGCTTCAAGGAGTCTCCGATCTACCAGGAGGTCGGCCGAGGTGCTGCGACAGGGCGCCGAAGACGCCGACGACGACTGCCAGGCCCAGGCGCAGGCGCGGAGGTTGCTGATGTTCAGGCCCAGCAAAAGCGAGCTCACATGGCAGAGCTCGGGGGCGCGCAGCGTGCGCCGCTCGGGGTTCACCCTGACGCACGCGCCCTACCTGGCCCCCACGCTGTCGCAGGGCCAGACGCTGCGCAAGGGCGTCACCACCGACTGCGCGAGAGACGAGGACGATGGCCGCACGGGCATGTCGGACGAGCAGTGGTGGCTGCACATCTACGTCATGCTCTCCCGCGCCACGTGCATGCGGAACATGCTGATCCTGCGGCCGCCGCCGCGGGAGTTCCTGGAGCGAGGGCCGCCGGCGCCCCTGCGGAAGGCGCTCCTGGAATTCGACAAGAGGGCGGTTTTGTCCAGGGCGGAAGTGAAGCAGCTCGCGGCAGAGCTGGGCTTCGCGCTGCCCGCCTGAGCGCGGCTGCGCCCCGCTCAGAGCCCGCGGGTTTGTCCCAACGGCTTGGTCTTGCGCGCAAGCGGCTCGCGGGGTTGCCCCGACAGCCTGGCCCGCGGGGTTGCCCCAACGGCTGCGCGACGTGGCCATTAGAGAACGCGCCTGTGCTGGCCGAGGCGGCGACGGCGCCGAAGAAAACCGACATGCGCGCTTGTGCAATGGAAGGGCGAGGAGGTGGCGGGGCGCGAAAAAAAACAGGAGGGCGAGGTCGGGGGCAACGTAGGGAGCGGGCGGGGGGGCCGCGCCAGGGCGAGAAGAAATGCACGCAGAAGAGACAGCCAGGACGCCCCACCAACATGAGGGGCGACGGCGAGAGCTTTTTCCAGATTCACCCGCAAATTTCTCACGCGGGGTCCTTCCTTTTGAGTCGTTTTCTGTCGACGCCCCCAAAGTTCTGGCGTTCCTCCAGGATTCCACTGGGAATGCCCCCCTCGGGCGCCTCCCGTCGGACGGCTTTCCCCGGTTGATTGTTTGGCGTTGGTTTTCTGTCGCGTTCAAATTTTCCGGGTCCCCAGCCTCCAGCGCTTCAGTTTCTTCGGTTGCTTCCCTGCGTCGCTTTGCCCCCCCGCCCCGCCGCCCCGCCCCGCCCCACCGCCAACTTAAGGAATGCATGTCCACTTCGCGCTGAAAGCGGAATCGGCGGGCCCCCCCCCCCCCCCCCCGCGGGAGAACGCGGACATGGGAGATCACGAGAAGCGCGGCCAGGAAGGGAAGTAGAAAAGAGGGAAGGAATTGAAGACTGAAACGGCCCACGCCGAAGCCCCGAAACCAGACCGAAAAAACGAACGACGCAAAAACGCGAGGCGCCGCTATGCCCCCCCCCCCGGCCCGCGCAGGGACTGGAGCGAATGGAATCGAAGAGCCGATCTCCCCCTGCAACTTGCCCCGAACCGCGCGCCCAATCTACCCGGCGCTTAATCTGGCCAGGGATTTGTTCGATTATATCATCGCCCTGGAGCCCTCTCCCCCGCCCCGCCCCGAGACGCGCGCTTCCCCAACTTCCGTCGCGAAGTGCGCGTTCTGAGGGCGCGCGCCTGCGTCGTCGCCGGCCCCCCGCGGCGGCTGCGCCCCCCCGGGAGGCGGCGGGCAGGTGCCGAAGCAAAAGTGCTAGACGACTTTGAAAGCGGTTGAAAGGTCTGCGCGCTTATCGTTGTCGCGCATGGCCACGGCGCCGGCAGCGCAGGCGTAGGTTCGCTGGCAGCGGGCGTCGCGCCGCCAGCTGGGCAGGCGGCGGCGCCTTCCGCGCCCGCGTCCGCGCTGTCAGGTGCGCGCCCCAGGTTTGGGGC